GTTTTCGGAGGCTCGTCCTTGGCCGGAGCCAGGGCGGGGGCCGCCCCGGCAGCAAAGGGGAGCGGAAGGGGTGTCTCTGCACGCGCCTGAGCGGGGCACGGGGCAAGGCCACCCCCTCCTGGGCCGGTCCCTCCCGTTCTGCTTCCTGCCTGCTGCCGCCGCCCCAGGGCCGCTCAGCACCTTCCTCCGCTCTCGTGCTCGCTGCTGGCCGGGAGGGAGGCCGCTGAGGCGGCGCATCCTGGCAGAGGCTGCTGCTGGGCAGCCCCACCCCACGCTTCTAGCTCTGCCTGCCTGAGCCAGAACCGCCACCCGGAAGGTCAGGTGGCCAGGCCCAGGCCAGGAGGTCCGCCCTCGCGCTGGGCATGGGCGCCTCCTGCCCTCTGGGCCCAGCCACCCTTGATGCTGGGCTGTGTGGACCTCTGCCACGTGGGGTCTCTGCCACGTGGGGTCTCCTGCTGGTTGTGCTTTTGTGACCAAGTCTGTGCCAGACCCGCGCTGCCAAAGGGGCCCAGGCCACCCCCCCCCCCAGGCCTTTGGGGACGCTGAGCCACCGCTGGCAGCTGGTGGTGACGTGACACCTTGTCACGCCCTGTGGTGCCCCCTTGTCCCTCCGGGACTCTGGAGCTGTCTTTCTGGCCCAGAACTAGTCCCCCTGGGGAAGGCTTCTGTGGTGCAGAACAGCCCCAAATTGTGCAGGGTCACCCCTGTGTCTAGAATCCCTGCTTCCTCTCTGCAGACTCAGCAGCCCAGTGTCTCCCTGCCGGCCCTAGGAGAGGAGAGCTGGCCCTGGGTCCACTGGACAGCCCTTGACCTCCACTCTGCACTCCCCGGAGGCTGGGGTGCCCGTAAACCAGCCCCGCCCGCAGCCCCTTCGCCAGAGAGCAGGGCTGTGTCACTCCCGTGGGCTGCGATGCTCGGCCACCCGCACCCAGCTCCCTCTTGCATTGCAGACATTTTGGCTGTGTGCTGCCGTCACTGCAAGCCCCCCAGATTCTGTGGGATGGGGTGCAGGCCCATTTCATGGGTGACTTTGAAGGATGGGCTCTTTGAAAGCTTCCTGCCACCAGATCCTGTGGCTCCTCCCCCTGGCCTGGTCCCAGGAGGGGGAGGAACTTGACCGCTTTGGGTAGGGGGAGCAGGTGGGGCTGCCCCAGGCACTTCTCTAGCCTCTGCCTGGTGGCCTGGGGCCATGCCAGCCTTGGGAGACTGGAGGGGACAGGGCTGAGGACGGCCCAGGGCTGAGGTGTGCGCCCCTCCCATGCAGCAGCCTTGCCACTGTCCGTTGAGCTGTGTGCAACGGCTTCCTCCTTCCCTCTTGCTCTTGCATCTTTTGGTTTGGGTCCAGGGCTGTGGCTTTTGGCCTTAGCAGCTGACACATGGGCCTCAGACACACCTTTGACCCATGCCTCGGTCACCCAGGGCTGCCAGTAGGGGCCTTTCTTCCTGGCAGGGTGCTGGACACTGGCCATGTGTGCCCGAGGTGGCCGGGCAGGGGCAGTTCTGTCCCCGGGCCTCCCACTGCGACCGCCTCGGGTCTGAGTGGCACGAGCCTCGCTCCCTAGCCCTGTCCCCCCGGAGCCCAGCTGGTCAGACTCACAGACCCCCAGAAGCCAGGCCTTAGCCCTTCTGTTCACTCTCGCTGCCTGGGCCCAGGAGGAGGTGTGGGCATTCTGCAGCGGTGCCGGCTCTTGCCCTCCCCTGCTCTCCACCAGACAACATTCAGAGTGACGTAGGTGTGACCTCTTCCCCTGGAAGGCTTTGCAGTTTGACAGCCTTCTTTGATCACAGACGCATCTGGGCTTGCAGGGACATCGCCTCCACTCTAAGGGGGGAGTGGGGGGGGGGAGGTTGGGTGCCCAGGCGCCTAGAGGAGCAACCTCTCCCTTGGAGAGAGCCCCCCTGGCCCCAAGTGGATAGCTACCTGGTTCCCAGCTGAGGTGTGGGAGCCAAGGGGGCACAGCGCGCCCCCTGGTGGTGGTGATCCGCAAAGGCATCTGGGGGCGCAATAGGTCAAAAGGTACTTGGGGGTGGGGGAGCCAGGGGCGGCGGCGAGGAGGGAGGTCTGCAGGCCTCTGCCCCACATTAATGTCAGTATGTCTCCCAGACGCCCCTCTTCTAGGTCTCCCCCAGGGCTAGCAAGTTAATTAGCATAAGGGCACTGTGATAGGAAGTCTTGCCCCTCCCCCTTTTTTAATATCTGCGGAACAAACCCAATGGTTGATTTTTGAATGAATAAAAGGCTTTTGTTGAATAAACAGCTGGTCCCATCTTCTGTTTGGATCTAGGCTCAGACTGTCCACTCCCAGGGCTGTGTAGGCCCCACCGACCATTTCCGCCCTCCTGGGCCTCTCACCCCGGGGACCCCGGGCCCTCTGACTCCGGCCAGCTCTCCTGGCTGTCGGCGGGTCACTTCTGCACCTTGGGACTCGGTTTCTCCTCCACTCAGGCGTCTTGGGGAGCAGACAAGAGCGTAATAGAATGAAGGGCCCGCTCAGCTGTCTGAATGTGATGCCCCCCACGGGGCTCACAGCTTTGGAAAGAAATGAGAGCAGCTTCACCCAAAGGAAGAAGGCAGTGTCTGCGGGGAAGGGGGCCCGCACCTGCCTGCCCCGCCCCGGGCTCTCGTGGTCGGTCTGAAGGGTGGGGTGGCCCTGGGCAGCGCAGGCCCTGCGGGTCGGGAGGGCCCCAGCGCATGCTTGCCCGGCTCCTGCTGTATGTTGTCTGTCACTCGATTAAAATCGCTTCCAACTTGTCTGTCTCCCTTGTGTGGACCTGTTGCTTTGTCTCTCGTTTTCCGCTCCTTTTAGGTTTCTTCCCCTGTGACGCCCTCTCTCCTGCTTTGGGTGTTGTCTGCTGGGTTCCCTAGAGAGAAAGGAGGTGCCAGGCGAGAACCTGGGCACGGAGGCTAAGTTAGCACATTCCAAGGAGTGTGTCTGGGAGACCAGGCTCAGCGAATGGGGGGAAGGAGGGTTGACCTGTGCCACCCGCATCTCCACTGTGGAGGCCCCCCCATCTACCGGGCGCCTTAGGGGGGCCTTAGGTGTAGGAGGTGGGGCTACAGCCACATAGACGGGGTGCCCGAGGCTGGCTGGGACCCGGCTGCAAACGCTCCCGGGTTTCTGGTCAGTGTGGTCTGGGCGGGGCTAAGGGTTGGCATTTCACACTTCCGGTCAACGCTTTGTCTGGTCGGCTGCGCTTTGGGGAGGCTGTCCACAGGCAGGGCGACCTGCTGGGGTGCTCCCCTGCGCCCTGGGCCGGCCAATGGCTCCTTCACCTGGACCGGGTTCTGCACCCGGACGCGGGCACCAAGGACGCGAGGTTTGTGGCTCACCACATGGAGGCGCGCCCAGGGGAGGGGAGGCGGGTAGCCGAGCAGCTCCTCAGAAAGGCACCCCGCGAGGCGGCAGTGGGCGGCTGTGCCCCTTCCCGAGGTCACCTGCAACCTGGGGCCTTGGAGGGGCCAGTACTCAGGGCTCACGGGGCGGGCGGGAGC